GGAGAGAGAGAGAGAGAGAGAGAGAGAGAAGAGAGAAAGAGAGAGAGAGAGAGAGAGAGAGAGAGAGGAGAGAGAGAGAGAGAGAGGAGAGAGAGAGAGAGAGAGAGAGAGAGAGAGAGAGAAGAGAGGAAGAGGAAGGAAGGAAGAAGGGGAAAATGGATGAGAAAGAATGAGGGAAGAGTCAGAGAGACAGAGTGGGAAATTGCAGGAGCAGAGAGTAATAAACATGGCAATATCTAAGAAAAGAAAGGAAGAAAGAGAGAGGAGAATAATCCAGAGGAAATATAGGGAATACATTTTGTTCTATGATTCCATTTCGCTTGATGAAATATCATTTTTGTGCATCTGTCGTGCGGAAATTATTACGAATAGACTCCTTTTGAATGACATTTTTAGAACTCCGCGCAGAGATAAAAATGGTTTAAGGGATAAAAGAGAGAGAGAGAGAGAGACAGAGAGAGACAGAGAGAGAGAGAGAGAGGGAGAGAGAGAGAGTGTGAGTGGAGATATAGAGATAGATAGAGTGGGGGAGGGGGGTTGGAGATACTTGTATGTGTGCGTGTTTGTGTTTATGTAAGACAGAGACAGAGAGAGAGAGAGAGAGAGAAGAGAGAGAAGAAGAGACAGACAGACAGACAGACAGAGAGAGAGTCAAAAAGGGAAAGAGAGAGAGAGTCAAAAAGGGAAAGAGAGAGAGTTCAAAAGAGGACGTAAGAATCACCTGAAGTGGAAAGAAGTGTATGAATTTCAGAACTGAAGAAGATGAGAGGCTCTTTGTGTTCTTCCCTTGTTTTCTGTGTCTCTGTTTATTTCTCTGTGTATTGGCTCCTCTCTTCCTCCGTCTTTCTCTTCTCTCTCTCTCTCTCTCTCTCTCTCTCTCTCTCTCTCTCTCTCTCTCTCTCTCTTCTCTCTCTCTCTCTCTCTCTCTCTCTCTCTCTCTCTCTCTCTCTCTCTCTCTCTCTCTCTCTCTCTCTCTCTCTCTCTCTCTCTCTCTCTCTCTCTCTCTCTCTCTCTCTTTCTTTCTTTCTTTCTCTCTCTCTCTCTCCCTATCTATCTATCTCTTTCTCCATTGCTTGCTACTGTCCCTTTACTTAATTTTCACTACCACAACGATTGAAGGAGGAGATAAAAAGGAGAGACAGGGAATAAATGAATAAAGGAAAGGGAAGATTGGGGGAAACGAAGGATAGACAAAGAATGGAAAGAGGGAGATAACAGATACTGAGACGAAGAAGCTTAAGAAGGGAAAGAAAAGAAAAATAGAGTGGAGAGTTATATACGTCATCGAATAAGATCCACATCTAATATATATATATATATATATATATATATATATATATATATATATATATATATATATATATATATATATATATATATATATATATATTATTTTTTTTTTTTTTTTTTTTTTTTTTTTTTTTTTAAGAATTAAAGCAAGTAAATATATGAATAAACAGACGAATAAACAGACAATGAATATATATGAATGAATACTATAACTATTTAATAAAACATAGGAAAAGGAAACTAGTAAATCACTTTTTCTTGACAATATTTAAATCTCTTGACAAAATGTATATCTAAGACACACCTGGATATTGATCACCTTGCTTCTCTAATTACCCAAAGTCTCCTGCAAACTCCGCCATTATCAACCTTACGGGAGACTCTATGACAGGTAATTAATGTACCAGGTAATTGCAGGTAATTACATCGACTCTCTAACTTGTAACACTCTTCTTAAAATGCTTTTAAGAATGGCCGGGGATTTTCTCGGCTAAAATGTTGCGTGCGTGTGTTGATATTGTGATAAGTTTTGATATAAGTTTTATTGTGTGTTATTGAGGGGGAGGGAAAGAATTCTCAAGGTTGTGAGAAGCTGTGATGATGAGAAGTGAAGGAGGAATTCGTCCAAGATTTTTTTTTTCTAATCTACGAAGGAAAATTATAGATGTAGGAGGTGGTTATTAAAAATTATCTAGTAATCATAGTGATAATGATGATGATGATGTTGAGGGTAATAATAATGGTGATATTAATAGTAATAATGATGATAATGATAAAGTAACAGCAAGAATGATAATAAAAGTGATAATAGTGATAATAATGACAATAATAATATAATATAATAAAAAATAATAATAATAATAATATAATAAGGATGATGATAATATTAATATAATAAAATAATGATAAAAAGAAGGTCTGGTTATTATTTGTACCTCTATTATCATCATTATGATTCATTATTATTAATCTAACAACAACAAAAATTACTAAAATGACACTAACATTAATCAAAATATTAAATAATAATAATGATATCCCTATAAAAAAATTCCCTATAAAAAAGTAACAACGACAATTATTATTCCAATCATTATTCCCAATTTGTGTATATTGTTGTTGCTATTCTGATAGTGTTATTATTGTGATAATAATGACTGTAGCTATACGGTATATAATCTTAGCTTATGTTCGTTGCACATCATTTTAACCGCTCTTCTTCTGTTTCCAGAGCGACAAGACAGCTCGCCGGCAGTCCTGGCAACTGTTGGTTGGCAGTTCTGGTAACACTGCTGTTCCTCTCCGGGTTTCAAGACACCTCCTGCGTCCTAGCAAGTAAGGTTTCGGCTTTATTGATTTTGTATTGTAAAAACAGCCTTATGGTTAATTGTTGTTGGGTCACATACACGCGCAAACGCACAAACTCATGCACACGCACTCACGCATTGCACGCACGGAAACACACACACACACACACACACACACACACACACACACACACACACACACACACACACACACACACACACACACACACACACACACACACACACACACACACACACACACACACACACACACACATACACACACACACACACACACACACACACATAAACACAAACACATTCATACCGCAGATACATACACACACGCCTATATGTGTACACACTGTTTGTTGATCTATATGCTTACAGATATTGCACATCAGATATAAGGGGTGAAAATTCATGCTTCCAGCCATATATCTATTCATGTCTATCTTTATATTTCCTTCTATTTGATAGCTCGCTTTTCCCTCCCCTCCGATTTCCTCGTTGTCACATATCTGTTATTATTTGAAGTAAAAATACGACACGTTTTGATTAAATCTTCACCAGAAAGAGAAGTATTTCTGATGCAGAATGAATATCTCTTGGCCTGTGTTGTTCATTCTCATTTCTGTCATTTGCTCTACATTTGGAGCGGTGGATTCTGGTCGCGATTTGATTGCTCTCTTCAGCAATCTGTCTGTATGTCTCGCTGTTCGTCTGTCTGTCTGTTTGTTTTGCTGTCTGTCTGTCCCTGTCTCTGACTCTCCCTCTGCTCTCTCTCCTCTCTCTCTCTCTCTCTCTCTCTCTCTCTCTCTCTCTCTCTCTCTCTCTCTTCTCTTCTCTCTCTCTCTCTCCTCTCTTCTTCTCTCCTCTCTTTCCTCTCTTCTTCTCTCCTCTCTTTCTCTCTCTCTTCTCTCTCTCTCTCTCTCTCTCTCTCTTTCTTTTCTCTTTCCTCTCTCTCTCTTCCTCTCTCCTCTCTCTCTTCCTCTTTTCTCCCTCCTCCTTCTCTCTCTCTTCTCCTCCTCTCCTCTCCTCCTCCTCCTTTTCGTCTCTCTCTCTCTCTCTCTCCTCTCATCTCTCTCTTCCTCTCTCCTCCTCTCTCCAACCTCTCTTCTCTCTTTCTCTCTTTCTTCTCTCTCCTTTCCTCTTTCTCTTCCCCCTCTCTCTCTTTCCTCCTCTCTGCTCTTCTCTCTCTCCCTTCTCTCCTCTCCTCTCTCTCTCTCTCTCTCTCTTCTCTCTCTCTCCTCTCTCTCTCTTCTCTCTCCTCTCTCTCTCTCTCTCTCTCTCTCTCTCTCTCTCTCCCCTCCTCTCTCTCTCTCTTCTCATTCTCTCTCTCTCCTTCTCTGTGTGTGTGTTCCCCCTCTTCTCCACATATCTGTCTCTCTTCTCTCGCTAAGTGCGTTAGGCAAACTGACATGGCGGAGTAACTATCCAACATCAATACACTTTCCCCCTGACTCTAACTGTTATAAACTACTTCAAGGAACAGTTATAGTTAACACTGTTCCGGTAACTTTGTATTGTTGTATCTCCCGCTCTCTGCATCAGTGCCTTGAACATACAGACTTCCAGAAAACATGTTTTATCAGTGGAAATGTGAATAGATGAATGCGTGGTACATATAGATGATTAATCCGTAGATGGGGAATGAATGAATTAGAATGGGATATCATGAAAGATGCTTTTAGAATCGGGGTCTATTTTGATGCTTGCATATTACAGTATATGCTTTACACTGACTAAATCTTAGGTGGTATATAATCGTAATACCCACATTTATCGTGCGTTTAAACTTTTATTTAGTAAAGTAAACGATTTAATGTATGCATATAAGGACTTTGTAATCCCTTTAATTCATATCTGATTTCGTAATACCTTTCTTCTTTAGGTCCTTATCTTTTCCAAACAGATATAACGAAGCTTAACATAGATAGTCTACATGAATGTTGAAACTTGATTGGGTAATGTTTTCATATACGTCTTCATTTTATTTATTTCTAAGTTCATTTTAGGAAACTTCACCTTCTATATAATATACATATATACCTGTTTGGTGATGCGTTAGTTTCTAAGCAGATGCGACGGAACTGTAATCTAGATAATTTATACAGAAGCCTATTTCCGCTTATTATGAAGTAGATATGACAGAAACACAATCTATATAATCTACACTAATACCTACTTTTAGGATACCTTCATCTACCCTTCCATCCTCATCCCTTATAGGCTAATTATAAAACAAGAAAAATATAATTATAAAACAAAAAATATATAATTATAAAACAAAAAAATCATAAAAAAAATATATAATCATAAAAAAATTATATATTGGTCATTTTACCTCTTTCCTTACGCTTTCTCCCCCTTTTTTCTCCCCCCCTCGAGCAGATGCGACGG